GTGGCAGTACTGGGTAGTGCAGCACTTCTTTTTGTAGCATTGGGTGTGAGAAACAGTGTGAGGAGCTGTACGTGCAACAGCAGCAGCAGCAGGTCTTGCAAGATCGCGCTCGTTATCAGCAACTGGAGAAGCATCAGCAGCAGCAGTAGCAGCAGCAGTAGCAGCAGCAGTAGTAGCAGCAGTAGTAGCAGCAGCAGTAGCAGTAGTAGCAGCAGCAGCAGTAGCAGCAGCAGTAGCAGCAGTAGCGGCAGCAGTAGCAGCAGCAGCAGCAGCAGCAGCAGTAGCAGCAGCAGCTGCAGCAGCAGCAGCAGCAGCAGTAGCAGCAGCATCAACTGGAGAAGCAGCAACAGCAGCAGTAGCAACATCAGTAGTAGCAGCAACTGGAGAAGCAGCAGCAGCAGCTGCAGTATCAGGTTGCGGTCCACCATCATCGTCTTCAGCCTTGAAACATGGAAAGGAGAGCAGTGTAGCAACATAGAGAGAAAGAGAGAGAGAGAGAGAGAGAGAGAGAGAGAGAGAGAGAGAGAGAGAGAGAGAGAGAGAGAGAGTGTGTGTGTGAGAGAGAGAGAGAGAGAGAGAGAGAGAGAGAGAGAGAGAGAGGAGAGAGAGAGAGAGAGAGAGAGAGAGAGAGAGAGAGAGAGAGAGAGGGAGAGAGAGAGAGAGTGTGTGAGAGAGAGAGAAGAGAGAGAGAGAGAGAGAGAGAGAGAGAGAGAGAGAGAGAGAGGGAGAGAGAGAGAGAGAGAGAGAGGAGAGAGAGAGAGAGAGAGAGAGAGAGAGAGAGAGAGAGAGAGAGAGAGAAGAGAGAGAGAGAGCCAGCGAGAGAGAGAGAGACAGACAGACAGACAGACAGACAGAGAGAGAGAGAGAGAGAGAGAGAGAGAGAGAGAGAGAGAGAGAGAGAGAGAGAGAGAGAGAGAGAGAGAGAGAGGAGAGAGAGAGAGAGAGAGAGAGAGAGAGAGAGAGAGAGAGAGAGAGAGAGAGAGAGAGAGAGAGAGAGAGAGAGAGAAAGAGAGAGAGAGAGAGAGAGAGAGAGAGAGAGAGAGAGAGAGAGAGAGAGAGAGAGAGAGAGAGAATGAGAAAGAGACTGTGTGTAAGTGCTCCATAGCATGCGAATAAAGTACAGTGGAACTCGGATAAGAAGCACCCCTCGGGGAGTGCGACAAAGTATTTAGTATCTGAGGCCTTCTTATCCAAAGTTGACTCCTGCGACCCCACTACCACGATACATCTGCAGTATGTCAAAATGCCCAAATTTATTCATTTCACTCAGAAAGAAACATGGTCACTGCCACGAAATTGCAAAGCAGGTGGCCTGGGTTGCAAACAGCCTCCGCCGCCTGCACTGTCAACACACTAAAATACCTGTTAAGCGAACCTGTCATGTGTAGAGGTGTGCAAAAACAGACTGCCTTACATTGCATTCATGAAGAGATGAGCGCTGCCTGTGGCAAGCTCCCATATTGGGCGATTTTCGTGATTTCATCGTACACAGCGCAGTGTCGCAAAATTTGAGGTTTGAAAAAGGGTGCAAAAAATGCACCTCGACTGGGGGTTCGAACCGGACAATGCAGTAATGCAAGTGGAGTGAAACGGATTGGATTTTCATGGCCTTTCCCAATTCAGTGCTTATAAGACAAAACCTGGCCGAAATAATATTCTTGTTATGGCTTGCTTTTCAGAGAAATGGACTTCAGAAACATACTTGAAGAAATTGAAAGAGGGGGAGGGGGGGGGGGGGGATTGCAGAAAAAGATGTGAAAAAACTCCAAATTTGACCCATTTAGGGCCAAAAGCTAGGATGTACTGAATGGACTGTCAGGGCTCACCACGACCGTACAAAGCGTCAATAACGGCAACTTGGATTTGCACGGCAAAATGGGCTATTTCTTGCAATTGTGGGGTGTTTTCTGAGCTGAACTACTTGGCGGTACTCGTTGGTTTTAGACATTAGGCCATTGTGGATTCGTGTTCAGAAGGTGTGTCTTTGGAGGGTTACCATCTCGAATTTTTTGATTTGGCCTTCGTTTGGCTGAGATCGGATGGTGAAATCACTCAAACTCGAAGACGTGCGAACAGGTGAATGAAGATAAAATTAGAAATCGGGGACGGTAAACCGGTTGAGAATTCCAAGACCTTGAAAAAATGAGCTATCGATGGTGAGAATCGGCCAAGTAGAACCGTGGTGTTACTTTTTTGAAGACAACAAGGTCGGCCGTGCATTCTCGCGCGCACCAACAAAAACTGGCAGCCGTGCGAACATCTGCAAGTGCAACAAGAATGGACGGAGGAGACAGCAAGCGTTCCAAGTGAAGAGTGTACCTTCGTGTTGACTCAAGCTGAGGACTCATGCCAGTCAGGGATCATACCAGTCACCCCTCATCATGGTCATGACTAAGGGATTCATTTGTGGCCAGGAAACTCCCCACTCGCAGCGGGAAAGCTGCGAGGCCAAACAGAAAAGAGTGTGCCGAGTCGCGATCAGGAAACGCTGAGTCCTATTGGCAACATTGGTTAGGTAGGCGCGGAAAATTCTTGTAGATGCCAGGACTCCAGTTCATCAGTACCTCACGGACATATCTTGGTCGACACCCACCAGCGGATTGAGAAAAATGACCAAGATGGCTTGGAGAAAGGACGTCTTCTCCGCGTGTCTTTCCCAACATCAAACAACAAGATTCTCTTTGGTACTGGCCCTTCGCTGTACAGACTGGACCAGGGAGTCGTAAAATACCGGTATTTTAAGACTAGACTGCACATCGCTGTACATTGATCAGCATGAACTCGGGTGCGTAGCCGCTATGACTGCACAAACTCTGGCATCCGCGGCCGTTGCCATTTTTCAAAATGGTGGTCGACGCTTTTTGACTGTTGTATGGTCGTGGTGAGCCCTGACTGCCTAGTCTAGACTAGAGCATAGGCCAGCTCTGTAGCAGTAGTCGCTGAAATGTCCACCATACAGGAGTTGTATGACATGGTCTTATCAGAGAAAACATCCCATTTTGCATTCGCACTAATGGCAGTAATTGCAGGAAAATCCATGCAACCAAATCGGACTGTACTAATCGGGTGTATGTCTTACCCAGGTACGTACTAAGTGAGATCCACTGTGGCATTGATTTTAACATGCTGTGGTATGTGCATTTACAATACTGCTTGCAGGAGATGATGGAAGGCATTATAATGGAGACAATTTTCAGAACGCTTGACCAAGTTGGCCAAAGAAAACTGTTCAAATTGGCGGCCAAAATGACACTACAAACCTTGCTGTACTTCTGCGACAGGTTCTCCCCCAATGAGAACTCATCAAAAGCTGATCTGGATTCGATACGAATGTGAACTTCTCCCATTCTTTGCCCTCCCTCCAAAACAATTCTAATCGGGATTCCGCATAATAATGAAACACTGTCAATGAATGATAGCAAGAGTGCATAAACAAGAGTATGCAACTGTGGTTATGGGTCAGTGCGCTACGTAACTTGCCTCCATCACGCTCCGAAAGCTTGCACTCAAACCCACAATTTCCCGTACGAGCTCATCCGTTTTTGCTCGAATCGTTCTAGTACCTACACAATCTCTAAATTTTGGCGGGTGAACTCCAAGTTCCTTACGAAAGCTCACTTCAAACCAGAGGGAAAGTGCGGTGTTTGATTTTCCGCCGAGCGCGGACTGCACCTGAATGATGTAATGAAGGCAGCGTGCCACGCATCTGGCCCATAGAAAAGAGATCACAGTTGAATACTATTGTTTATGGACTCTTGATGATGTAACAACCCACTCATGAACACGGATAATTAGAGAGGTTGTGCACAACGAAAACTCGTAAGATTTCGAACGTCCGGGTTCGAGTAACGAAAGTTGCTATGAAGATCTGTCCAAATGCGACCGAAACAGAGCAGATCTACGAAAATAGATTTCGTCACCTGGAGTACTAAAATACTGATATATTACAACTTCCTGTCTCTACTCTTCACACCCGCGCGGACGCCGCGTCTACCCACTACGAAAACGTTCACGTGCTGTGCGCAACCTCACGGTTTACGAATATTCGTTAGCTTTTTCGTCTTAATTAAAAATTATTCGTTATGGCGCTACGAATTTTCGTTGTGCGCAACCTTTCTATTGTTACAATGAACGAGGGAAGGCACCGACACAAGAAATACTTTCCAAACAACAAGTACGTAGATTCCAGCTTACCGACGAAAGACTGGTGAAAAGCTGTAGCACTCGCTTCATCTCGTCGTGTACTTCCTCGGCAGTCGGTCGCTCGCTCGGTTCATTGGAGTGGCAGCGAATTGCCAGTGGCTTCAATGGGTGGTCATTAGGGAGGCGCCGAAGATAAGCTACTCGCCGTCTTGTCTCTGTCACCACCTGCGTCGTTTCCCGTCCACTGGCGGCGTCGCGCACGATTACAACGGACGGAGCGTTGATCAGGTCGATCCCAGGCATAACACCAGTCATAACAGCCAGTAGCGTAACTCCGAACGAGAAAATATCAAGCGGACGATCATAGTCTGGTTGCTCGACCAGGGCCTCCGGTGGCATGACTGCCAGCGTTCCGGGGCAACAGGTCATGTCCATTCGAGCCGCCTTCACTTGTCGCTTCTGTTGACGAGGGGATACCAAACGTACGAACTTCGCCATGCCAAAATCGCATACCTTTGCGACTCCGTTCTTGATCATCACATTTTTCGGGGCGAGGTCCCGGTGGAGAATCCCGCGAACGTGCAGGTATCTGATACCAGACGACGTGTCGCAGAGGTAGCCGACCAGCTTCAAGCCATCCTCACGATCCTCACCAATACTCAACTCTTCCAGCGTCGACGTCAGCAACTCCAACGCGAGAGCAGCGTTTTGCCCAACTCGAGCAATGCCCAGCAATTGACAAAGATTGGGGTGGTGGATGCGACTGAGACGGAATATCTCTTGGCCGAATGAACGGATACTCCTTTCACGGTCCTGAACACCGGGCTCAATCAAAACGGGATGCAGAACTTTCAGGGCGATGTCTATTCCTTGCCAATTCAGGCGATACACGACAGCATCTGATCCACGACCTATCTCATCCTCCTGGCTGAGTCTAACGTCCCCTAAAACAAAGTCCTGGTTGGTGAGGCCTAACTCTCGCATCAATGGCTGGGCGGCGAGCTCCATTGCGCGCGTTTTAGTATTTCAGTGGTGGACCAGATCGGTGGTCAACGACTGAGAACGACGAGAGAAACTCTCTTTGCTGCTAATATTTGAACGTACATGTAGATCTACATGAGAGTAGTAGTACTACTAGCTTCGTGCATAGCGCATGTATGTAGAGGATATTGCACAGTTCCGAGGGATTTTTTTTTATATTTCAAATCCCCAACCAAGGCGGGGCCGGGTGAAAAATAATCCTTGTGGACACTTTTTTTTGTGGACACCTTTCGGATGATGAGCAGCATGAACCAGTGCAGTGTGAACGGAACACTGAAGAGTGAAGTAGGTTCACACGCATACTGTACTAGTCCAGCCATTTCCTCGTTGCCTCTCCGGGTTTAGATCAACCTGTTGGTTTGACTGAGTAGAATGCGGAAAAGCCCTTGGCGATAATAATGCTTTCCATTATGCCCGTAACCGTTGCATTTTGGCCGCTCAGTAACTATTGGTGCTTGCACTTAGTGTCCAGCGGATAATGCCGGCATTATATTTGGCATTATACGACTATCCGAGCATCAGAGCATTATGGAGCACTAGAAAGGAACGAAACGAGCATTATGATGTGAGGTTTGAACGGCATAACGAGTTTCATAGTGGATAATATCGGGAAATCCCAGGTTTTTGGCAACAATCGGCTACAATCATGATCATGAGTTGTTGTCTGATGATGCAGGGAAGGCCTCTTTTACGGGCAAAGCAAAGCACAATCATCACCATGTATCAGTACAGTGAGTAGTTAAACCCAACACGAATGAAAAATGTGAAATGGAATAAAAACAATATTTGTAAAAAAAAAAATTAAAATTAAAATTCAATATCGAACACGAATAAAATAAAATAAAAATATGTAAAAAATAAACAATATCGATGTTGTCTGATGATTGGTTTTTGCCATGAAACTCTGAGTAAAGCGGGATTCACAGAAGCTTTTTTGCGATGCAACACGCGATGCGACGCGATCTGCGATGGATGCGTGCGATGCGAACTCGCGAAATACCATTCACAGAAGAAGTCAGCGATGCGACAAAGTTTTGCTGATTTGGGTACGTCACCATGATATTCGCGCGGTTTGACACAACTTGTAAAAATTTATAGGCAACTCTTGCACCTTTGTACAACTTTGCTGTAGAAAAGGTCAAAATCGTACACCAAATTGCTTGTCGCATCGCATCGCATCGCAAAAGTTGAGCCAAGCTCAACTTCTGCGATGGCATGCGATGGCCCAGTTGCGTCAGTTGCGTGGGGTGCGACATGGCTGCGATTTGGGGTTTTCCCGGTTTCGCGCCTGTCGCATCGCGTGTCGCATCGCAAAAAAGCTTCTGTGAATCCCGCTTGACAACGAAACCATCCTATTTTACTCCTTTTGTGTATAGGCTCAGGCGAAATCATGGAATTATGCTTTCTTGGATTCTCGCATCATGCTCGCATCCTCATATTATGCTTTGCAACGCGAGGATACATATTCACTTTGTTGTACTTATGTAGCCTCAAAGTTCGGACAATTGTGCGTTTTTCGTACTTGCAAGTGGCCATAAGTGCAACAACATGTTACACGAGTATCGCCATACCAAGTTGTCCATGTGTAACTCGTATACTCTCAGCACTCAAAGCACATACTTGTTGTTACGTAAGTAGTTATCATTCGTTCATTGTCTCACAAGGAGAAGAAGAAGACAAGGCAGTGCGAGTATGCGCACTGCCATCCATGCATTCCTACGGTGTACTATTTATGTGTATACAAATTACGTGTCATAAAGTAGCCATGCTACACTATCCTCCTCCTACCAAAAATTCACGCCCTCGTGAATAGAGAAAGAAAATATAAAAAATAAAAACTCAGGACATAGCAAAATTAGTAGGGGTGAAAGGGGTGATCCGGGTAACCCGGGTACCCGTCTGTTTAGCTCCTGATCCGTTAGAAAACGAGTACCCGATAGTCGTGTAGGATTGTAGGGTACAGTATTAGAAGCTTGCTTGTACAGTTGTACAGTTCAGTGCACAGTTTTGAGTGTGTTTTTCCTCGTTCAATCCTGCTACATATCACGTTATCCATTGTAGCTACGACAATTTCGACTGTTAGCATGTAGCGCAGTGATTGTGCACACTGTGCTTGTCGCGGTGTAGTGTACTTGTATGACTTCGCATATCCTCCTGGCGTGAAATCCGGAAGGCTACTGTAGCAATTGTTGCCCGAAAATCTCTATCCTATCAGAATGCCTGCAAAAGACATGTTGCGCTTACGATCACAAGCAAATGCAACGTTTTTGGAAAAGGTATGGCGGATAAAGGGTACCCGATAACCCGCCCGTTAAGCCAGATACCCGTTTGTTACCTTAAAGGGTAACCGTTTCACCCCTAAAAATTAGTAAACCGAGCAGGCAGTCCAGGATTGCGAGCGAGATGGGCTCTGACGACAGCGGACAACAAGTAGGGTCATGGTCGAGGGCTTGCAGAGTAAGCACCGTGAGGCATCAGACGCGAACCGAATGTTCCTTCTGATCCAACTGCATTAGCCGAGAACAAACGCATGGTACGACTAGTGCCAGAAACCTTCGGGAGGGCGAACAAATTTTCCACTCACCGCATTGTACCTGGGCAAACTGACCACTGAGAGGTCGACATTCACAGCTTTGGCAGCAGCCAACTCAGTCGCGGAGAGACCAGCAAGTACAGAAGTGGCGACATCCACAGACGCAGTTGTGGCAGAGGAACTAGCTTGCTCTGGCTGATTTGCGGGAGTCTCCAGATGGGAGGGTTGCACCTCCGGCAACAAGGAACGCGACAGACCATCTGCATTCAAGTACTGCCGACCCGGTCGGTGAACAGTAGTGAAGGTGTACTCAGCGAGTTGCTCCACCCATCGAGCTTTCCGACCGCGTGGTTCCTTCACGGACATCAGTGCGGTGAGGGCAGTGTTATCTGTGCGGGCAATAAAATTCCGACCAAGCAAATAGTGCCGGAACTGATTCGCGAAATGAACAAGGGCAAGCGTTTCCCGGTCTGAGGCATCATAATTCCTCTCTGCCTTCGTCAAGACCCGGCTGCCGAACGCAATGGGGCGTTCCTCGCCATCTTGCATTTGGCTGAGGACAGCTCCAATGGCCACCTTGCTTGCGTCAGTGTCCAAAATAAAGCCACCAGACGAAACAGAAAAGTCGGGATACGCCAACACGGGGGCTGTGGTCAGTGACCGCTTCATAGACGTCAACGCCGCATCACAACTCTTAGTCCATGTAAAGCTGGCACCCTTGCCTGCTAATACATTCAGTGGAGCGGAGCGCTGAGCAAAACCACGGATGAAGCGGCGGTAAAACCCGGCGTACTCCAGAAACACCTGTACACCTCGTACAGACTGGGGCACGGCCCACTTCACAATAGCCTCAACCCTGGTGGGATCCGGAGCCAAACCTTCAGCCGAAACTTCATGGCCAAGGAAGAGCACCTTCCGTTGGAAAAAAGAACATTTTTCCAAGTTTACCTTTAGTCCAGCAGCACGAACCCGGCCAAATACAGACTGCAAGATCTGGAGCTGTCCAGTGAAGGTAGAGCTGGCATTAAATACACTATTGAAAAACACTTGACAGATTGGTTGGTTAGGCACACTACATAAACCATGAAGCACCGCTTCCATTACACGGTGGAACGTCGCTGGACCATTTCTACAGCCAGACATAGCCAAGAAATCACACAAACCCAACGGTGTCGTAACGGCAGTCTTTGCCGTATCGTCCTCGTGCTAAGGAACCTGCCAATATCCTGACGCTAAATCCAGGCAAGTGAACCATGAACAGCCAGAGAGTGAGTCCAATATGGCGTCGACACGTGGGATAGGATACGCATCTGGCTCCGCAATGCTGTTCAACTTGCGGTAGTCGATACATAACCGGAGAGATCCGTCCTTCATGGGAACGAGAACTATGGGCGACGCCCAGGGTCTAATGGACTCGGTGAGTATACCACGGGACAACAGACCATCCAGCAAAGCTTGCAAAGCGCGCGTAGGCTGCTTAACTGGCTGTATATCACCAGTACTACTACTATGTGGCAAAACATCACAAGGACCAAAATCACCCTCCTGCAAGAGAAACAAGTCATGATTCTCACGGAGAAGCTCTGTAAGTCTGTTCTTTTCAGGTACTGCCAGATGATTCCGAGACTCAACATACGTACGGATTATCTCGGCACGTTCAGGGGATAGCACAAACGGTTGCATATTCGCAACAGATGAATCAGCAGGAGCATCATCCTCTCCAATCAAGTTATCGGGTACAAGAGATAATTCTGCAATATCAACATCTGTAGCAATTTGTACTGGGTAGTCAGAGTGATTCTCCAACACAACTACCGCACCGGACCTGCCAGGTCCAACCGTAACCACACTGGGGGTCACAGACACATCTGGAAACTTTAACAAGAATGAGTCCAGTGGAACAGCAACACAATCCACAGTCACAGATGCCTCTTGCACCGACTTGCACGGGACCAGCACGACATGGCCGGCAGGCAGAGTTAATTTACTACAAACAGTGACACGGGAATAGTACGTGCCCGGGTCTTCCTCAGAATTACTATCATTACTCCAAGAGTCAGATAGCGGTTCAGCGTCCGCCGCAACAACCGGACAGGGCTCTGATGGACCAACACTAGTAGCTTTCACGCCTAGCAGGACTGACAGATCATTAAAAGTTAGTGTGCCTTGAGCAATGTTCAATAATGCAGCAGTTAATGCTCCATGGTCAAACAAGAAATCAGATCCCAATATCATATCACGGCGGATATCAGGAGACACTACAAATGTATGCAAGAATGAACGCTCTCCAATGCAGCATACAATATCTACAGCACCCAGAACCTGGAGTCCCTCACCATTAGCCGCACACAAACGGGGAGCAGCTTGCAAGGGCACATCACCATACGTGGACAAACATGTTTGCTCATGCAACATAGAAACACAGGAACCAGAGTCAATTAACGCCGTTACACACTTG